TTAAGTGTGCATCACTCATATTAAGATACGAATGACTCGAGAGTACGTCTCTCTATCGATCGATGCCCCGCCCTCCAGGCGCCCTTACGGTTGAATCAGAGGGTACACTTTATGTGTTTACGAAAGTCTAGTTTTGCAGTAGGACCACATTGGACAGCGAAGGAATTCGGTTAGTAGAGGCAATCAAGTCCCTGAACGACCCACTGCATGATCAGCAACTTTCTTCACTACTTCTTATACTTTCGCTCAGTACCAGACTGGCTGTGGAGGGTGGAAATGGTGAGGTATTGATTCTTTCGTGAATATGCCCTTCACGATTTTTTGACAGAAAGGTATATCAGATTGCCCTATCTGTTTCTATTTAAAGTCTCTTTTTTCAATTTCTTTTTTTTAAGATTTAGGAGAGTATGAGCTTTGATGCAAAGTATCCGTTTGAGTACGGTGACACAGCCTTTTGGGCATTAGTTTTGACTCAATATATGAGAGATAGGAATTTTCGGTTATTAATTATATATACGAAACCATTGTTGTAATGCAATGATAATTCTGATGTACTATGATTTTTCGTTTTGTAGAAGATGCATTTATCGGCTGTGTCACTCTTCTCTGTAGCTGCTACTTACAACTCATCGACAAAGTCGTTATAACCCAGCCGCCGGAAACAACCGATGACGATGAGGTAAGCTACTTGTAGGTCTACCTCTACGGACTTTGAACAAATAATCCAGGTCATCCATATTCGGCGCCGTAGAGTCAAAAGTGACTCTGATTGCGATGATGAAGATTCTAGAAGCAGAGACAGCAGTTCATCTATCGAAGAGTCAGTAGTTGAAACAGTCAAAGTTCCGCAAGAACAAGAGGTAAAATCGGATTTGAGACGCAATTTATGGCCTACTGAAGCGGCTGTGATGCAGGTGGACATTGAAGGTGGTTGGATTTTGGCGGCAATCTGCGAGTGGTTGTGCTACATCAGTCCTCAGCTACATAGCCTCAAAAGTAGGAAAACTACTCCAATACCAGCGGCTCTTTTGAACGTGAGTTTTGTAAGTCACGAGCGTAATTGCTGGTTCAGGTTCAGTATTCTATCCTTTTTGAGTGAATGGCGTGTTTGATTGAAAGCCTTCTGCTTGACCTT